TCTGTGCGTCCGTTTGTTCTACCGTTCATCCGTCTTTCCCACTTCAAGTTAAAGTTTTTGGTCAATGTAGTTTTTGATGAACTTGAAGTCCAATTAACTTAAAACTCAGTATACATATTCCATATGATATGATCTTTCTAATCTTAATGCAAAATTTGAATTCTGACTCCAATTTCACGGTCATTCATGTACTATGGACACATTCTTGTTCAAATCCTTTATTAAAGAAGTTAGTAAATTTACTTCAGATGAAAATATAACATTAGTAAATTAGACGAACCAATCTTATTAAAAGATATATCTCTGATTTTGTTATACTTACATGTATGAGCACGTTAATATAGATATATATGCATTTTAAAAAGATTGTTGGACGAACACGTTCAATCTTAGGATTTAATTCTTGACAATTTTTCCGAGCGATGCGAGGCGAAAACAAATTGACGTCTTTCAAGCCAAAATTCATATTTTTGCTATACACACATTTTTTTTTTAAACTTGGTAATCAATTTATCAAAAATACAGTCCTAGATAATCAAATAATCATGAAATATTTGGTATAGTAATCAAATAATCACTAAAAAACAGCCAAGTAATCACATAATCAAAACCCCACGAAGAGGCTCATTAAAGATGGCATATTTTGGTATTAATATTGATTCACTTATAGGGTCTTTGTATCGGAAATAAACACATTAATTCTAAAACCAGTTGTTAGCATGATACGGGTCATTTTCTTCTCATATATTTTATGATGGTATGATACTAAACCCCTCACGGTAGGGAAAGTGCTTGATATTCATGTGATGAAGACATCTGATGTTCAGTAGTTGTCGTTTGTTGATGTGATTCGTATTTGTTTCTCGTTTCTCGTTTTTTATATAGATTAAACCGTTGGTTTTCCCGTTTAAATGGTTTTACACTAGTCATTTTGGGGCCCTTCATAGCTTGCTGTTCGGTATGAGCCAATGCACCGTGTTCAAGACCGTACTTTGACCTATAATGGTTTACTTTTACAAATTGTGACTTGGATGGACAATTGTCTCATCGGAACTAATACCATATCTTCTTATATCTTTATAATCTTTCGATCGGTTTAATTGAGGTCTTGAGCTGGCATGTCATTTACTGCTAATAGTTCTTTGTTAATTTAAGAATCATTGTCATTTTGCTTAGTTGCTTTTGTTACTTATTCTGACATCAGACTCGGACTTCTTTGAAACTGAGTTTTACTGTGCGTATTGTTTGTTTATTCTATATTGGCTAGCTATAGTGGTATAATGGGAGGGTTTAGATCTCACAAAACATGTTTAACCCAGCCGCGTTTTTGCGCCTGTCCAAAATCTGGAGACTCTGGCCTTTGTTAGTCTTGTATGTTTTTTTTTTTTAATTTTATTTTAGTATGATGTCCATTATCACTGAACTAGTATACATTTTTATTTAAGGGCCAGCTGAAGCCCGCCTCTGGATGCGAGATTTTCTCGTTGTGTTGAAGACCCATCGGTTGCCTTCGGCTGTTTTCTGCTCTTTGGTTGGGTTGTTGTCTCTTTGACACATTCTTTATTTCCATTCTCAATTTTATTGCTTGATTAATTGATTTCTTAATTGATTGATTGATTGATTGATTGATTGATTGTAAAGGGATTTTCTCATGTTACTTCAAACAAAAATCATGATAATTTGAGAATCCTTTGTTTGTTGTTGTTATAATAATGATTATTTGTATTGCCGTCATAATTAATTTCACCAATGAAACTTTACATTAATTTTTGACTTCGTATTAAATTAATTTGTAAACTTCTTGGAACTCAGCAATGACCGTCTGATTATAACTAGATCCGCAAGAATGTGAAATATGAAAACTTATTTGGCCTTCAATGCCTCAACCTTTTTTAATGTGGGTAACTTCTTTGTTCAGTTAGATTTCGATTTTGAAATTTATTTTGCAAACTACCATAGATTTCCGGTAATTGTTCTGTCAAAAAGGCCATGGGAAAGCACATTGACATAATTTTCTAAACGTTTATTGGAACCCAATAATATGCCACTCGATAGCAGCCACTTAGCTAACAGTCAGTTTTCAGATATTTATATAAACCCAAATGTTGCATAAGATTCAAACGTACTTCAAATGTTTTTATTAATATATAACCACTATATCGTCAGTTTTTAATACATAATTAAGCAGTCAAAGACACTATTCAATGAATTTTTAAATTTCATTTCTTGTTCATTAATTATATAAAGGCAATAGAAATCGCTTTCAATATATCACACAGCGTGCTGCACTCTTTACATTTTAAATAGTCAACACTTTCGAGTGTATATGGAATCGTAAATATGAAATTATTTAAATAATAGCTAAATTGCACTATTGTGTGAAATAGCTTTCCGTATTCTCGGCATCCTATCAAATAGTTCATGAAATGTAATAATTGTTCTGCATTAGACGAGAATAAAAGAAAGTTGCACTCGTGCTTTAACTTTTTTTTGCCACACAAAACTGTTTTGACAAAACATTCTACTTCTGAACCAGTGGATTACGCTTACTTATGATTGGACGAAAGGTTTAATTTTTGTATTCAAAGTATGGTGGGCAAGGAAATTATTTATCAGCTTAAAAAAATGATCCGTGGTATACCCAAACTTGTTATTTTGATCAAGTAGGCCCTAGATCTCTAGTTTACGTTTGCATCTAGTGCGGACAAAAGTATTGTCGCTGAATTTTTTTTATTAACTGCTCGATAAGGGTTGGTTAGGGTATCCGACCTCAACTTTGGACCTACTTTAGAAGGAAAAAACTAAGCCGAACAACACCCTGGATTTTTTCTAATTTAGACCCCAGCTACCCAGCTTCCTTTTGCACCTAGTGCGAACAAAAGTATTGCCGTAGAATTTTTTTTATAAAATTTTCGGTAAGGGTGGGGTTGGGTGTCCGACCCCAACTTTGGACCTACTTAAAAAAAACTAAGCCTAAACAACAAGCTGGATTCATTCCAGTAGACCTCAGCTACCGAGCTTCGAATTCCCTTTGCACATAGTGGGGAAAAAAGTATTGCCGTAGACATTTGTTTATTAACTGTTCGGTAATGGTGGGGTAGGGTGGGTAGCTGAGGTCTACTCGAGAAAAAATCCAGGGTGATGTTTGGCTTAGTCTTTTTTTATAATGTAAATATGTAACATGCTGGCATATTATGAAAGCTCACGCCTTAATTGATAGACATAGAAATGAAGAAAAAACGTATGATAACCAAAACAATCTACCAGAGACAAAATAACGTTGGTTAAGGCAACTAGTATGATGGTCTGGATGCGGGGTTCTTCATTTCTGTATTCTTTGATATTTTAGGCCATTTTTCTCATTATTCCTAATACTTTTTGCCAATCATAAATCTCTTCTCTTTTTATTTTAACACCATTATTCTATTTTATTTATTTCTTGGGCCATTGTCTCTATCATTTATATTTTTGCTCACTATTCTCTATTCCGTAAACCCCCATCCAGGTCCTCTAGTTAAGGTCACCATTAAGGCTTCACAATGCAAATAAGCAAAACTAATACCGAATAGGCTCCGAATGGCAAAAAGATTAAATGCTAATCCCGGTTTGAATTGTAAAATTGCGGAAATTTGTTTTTTAATCAATTGATCAAAGAAAGCACATTATCGTCCTGAATGTTCGTATAATACTGGCAGATGGACCAGTTCTACATCAATTCTAATCATCTTAGATCGGCCTTTCTAAACTTAAAAGTAAAGATCACGCACACTTATATTTCAGATTGAGTGTTTTGCATCCGTCGACATTATCTTCTATTTGATAACCGCTGTGAATGTATACTTCTTAACGACCGGGTTAGTTTTCTTATCAGTTTTAAAAGTAGTAACCTCCCTTGTTAGAGTGATGTTGTAATCAACCTATTTATTTGTACCATCTTTATATAATATTATATTGTAAAATTTAGATTTGTGATTCGTTTAATATTTAAATATAATAATTTATTTTTCATCAAAGATATAAACAAGATAATTTGAAAGTCTTTGATTCATTTATCACCGTAGATCAATTCAGAAGTCAGGCGGTCTATTTTGTCTACATTATGTTGAAAGAACACCGGGGTGTTTACATTGGCAATATTTACTGGTTACAAGAGCGCAATTATTTGTAATGCATTTTCCATAGGACCCCAGTGGTATTCAAAAATTTATTTCTTGAAGAATAAACAAACTAGATAAAAATGGGTAGCAGTTCCTGTGACTATAGATGTCAGCCTTTTATTACAGCAAAAAAAAAGTACATGGTCATGCGGCAAAAAGTGCCCTAAAATGCAGTTGTTATGGAAGCTTCCAAATTCCGCACTAAATTGGAAAGGTTAATTTTGAATGGCTCCTCAGTTAATAAAAAAATTATATCTTCTACACATTGTGAATTATGAATTTAATTTTCACCTATTTTCAAACCTAAATGGATAAGCTTTCAAATAAAAAATAATTCCAACCTGCATCATCCAATCAGGAGCCTCAAAGTTTTTTATTCTGAGTACCATCTTGGGTAAAAATTTTGCCGGTTGAATGTAAACAAATAATTGCGCTCTTGTAACCTATAGAAAGAATAAAATTGACTCGAATCAGGACAAAAATGTATCTGTTAAACACAGAACTTATATTAGGAAGAAATACCAAGTTTGGAAGAAATTGGTTGAGTTACTTAAGAAAAACTACCATATGAAGGAACAACCCGTGCCTTGCGGCCAAAGAGGAATTTCATCTACAGATTTCAAGAATGCTGTCATGAAAATAAAAAAATTACCATTAAATAACATTAAAAGTTCATTTGTTTAGTGTTTTTATTTATAAAATTAACATTTCTCTTTATGCATGTACAAGTTGATTCAAATGTTCATTCAGGGTGGATTCTACCCTTACTTTTCTTAAAGTTGTCAAAATTAGCCAAATTTTGGACTTTTTGTCATATATTTTTGAAAATAAAGTGTACTGAAGATGCACTCTGGATCGTTATCATTTATATTTTTATTACTGAAGATAAGAGATACAGGAATGATAGCAATTAAAAGTGGTTGTCTTCATAGTGGCTATAAAAAAATCCAAAGTTTATCATATGGCCTGTTTAGAGAATTTGTCAAATTCTGAGGGAGGCATGTGCTCAATCTCAAATATTTTTAATTACTGAATGAACTTTCCATTCAACTTGTATTGCAAAAAGATAAAATAGTGTCCTACTTTACAAGGGTATATAAAAACTTTACAAACACTAAAAAATTAAAGTGAAAACTGTACAATTCCAATATGTCTGGGTTCAAAAAAGGAAATATCTTTAAATTTAAGGCTGGAAGTATACCTCATAACAAAAAAAGGACTAAACTATTGCCAGTGAAAAGTGACTATGACACACCTAAATATACAAGACTTACCATGAAAAAGTACAATTTAGTAGTAAATGATCCATACACTGATCCAGAGGAAAAAGCCAGGCGGTCTGCTCGTGCGGCCAAACTACTGCGACCAAAGTCTGATGAGGTCTCTGTTCCCAAAAAAAACAGGAATCCTGCTGTAAATGACAAAAGGTAAGGCAAAGATATATAATCTAACTTTTAAATAGAGAAAACAGTTACAGATGAACAATTAAGAAATATCACAGTACAAAATAGGTCTAAAACTGCTAAAATATACTGAAAATTCACAAAATTTCACATTTCTTACACTAAAAATATATTAACCTGGAATTTACTCTGTCTTTTCCTTCTTTAATTAAGTAATTTTATGTTTTGTTTAAATGAAAAAGAGATAATTAGCCCTATAAAACTATGTCAAAATGTCCAACAGTCAGTTTAAAAAATTTCATACCCAAGCAAGGGGCAGGTAACTCTAATTCAGAAAAATTATTTGTTGAAAATATTCTTGATACAGGTGTAAATGTGCAATTTTTTGTGTTTTTCCAGGCCTGACTTCAATTCTTATCGTACGGTGTGCATTTACAAGATGGCAGAAATGTGGAACAAGGCCTTTAGGGAGCACCAGCAAAAAAGTCCTGCCTGTGAGGGTAAACTATCATGCGATTTAGAGAAAGAGGAGAAAAGAGGATTCTCTTCTCGCCAGACTTTGATTTGTACAAGTTGCAGTTATATATCGGATAAGTTTAGCTTATACGAAGAATTAGAAACAGGAAAGCCAGGAAGAAAACCATCAAAACTAGATACAGCTGTACATGTTGGCCTGAGTCAGACCCCAATAGCTTCCTCCAGTATGCGCAAAATCATTCTAAGTGGTAAAATGCAGGCACCAGCAGCATCCAGTCTACAAAGAAGAGCAAATAAAGTACTTAAAAACATTGTAGATGTGAATAAAATGGACCTGAGAAAAAGAAAAAATGAAATTATTGAAATCAATCGCCTCAGAGGGAAGGAAGATCCAAACACAATCAGTGTGCAGATGGACGGAATGTATAACAATCCGCTGTATTCCGGTGTTGGACGCACTCCATTTCAGCCTGCAACACAAACTGTCTATACCACAGCTGAAAATATAACAACAGACCATAATATACTAAGCATAAATATAAAAAATAAGCTTTGTTCAATACATTCAAGCCTTGAGGTGGATCCTGACTCAGGCCGTTTACATGCACAGTGTACAGATGAATGTAGTGCCAACATTCCAATGGTCAAAAGTATTGGGGATGAATATACATGGGCCAAAGAGTGTATCCTTGATCTTAAGGCAGACAACATTGAGGTTGAGCACCTGGTTACTGATCCTGACAGCTCTGCATACAGGGCTGCACAAGACTTGTATGAAGAAGGCACCACAAGTACTCAGCCTGAACATTTCCTTGATACACGGCATGTGTCTGAGAATATCCGTAAGCGTACGAAGAATGATAAGAACCTGTTACAGATCATGCCAGCAAGAACACAAGTGAAGAGACAAAAACTACTGAATTGTTTTTCAGTGGATTTGACAGAAAGGTGTAATGCCGAGCTGGCTCAGGCAAGGAAAATTTACAGTGGAAACTTTCAAAAAATCAAATATAAAATATCGCATGTCGTTGACGCAATCGTCAACTGTTACACTGGAAATTATTCCTCGTGTAAAAAACATTCATTTTTATGTAATGGATTACAGAAAGTATGGCTTATAGGAAGGTCACTACTACCAAAAACATTCAAAATTGCACACTCACAACAAAATATAGACTTTATAAGAAAGACAGTCAACCTGCGTCTTGGCCCAAATATACTTGAGAAGACCAGACTTAATATGAACACTAATTTTGTTGAGGGATTTAACCGTAGCCTGAGGCGTTCTTTACCGTCAAATGTTACTTTTAAAAGAAATGTTACCGGTCGTGCTCATTCAGCTGCTCACAGTGTTAATTTTGGTCCAGGAGAATCAGTTCTAGAACTTTGTACTGCTCTTCATTGTGAAGTCCCAGTGGGAGGCTCTGCATACAAGGCTCTAAAAGAAATACAAAAAGTTGACATTTTACAAAAACAGCACAAAAAGACTATGCAATACAAGCAATTTAGAAGTGATAAAAGGGCTAAACTGTACAAACTGTATGAAAAACTAAGTGAAATAATAGAATATGAAAAAAATATGTTGCTAAAATGTGATCAAGGACTGAAATCTACTCCGCAGAAACATAGTGACCATTCATACAGCAGAAATGACCAAAAGAGAATAAGATCTGTTAGAAAATAAATATTTATTTATTAAATTACATATTAAACAATATGGCTTGTGACTTTTAGAGCAATGGCCCTGATTTTTACAATGTAGGCGGTCTTGATTTATAGCATGAGGTTCAATAGTTATGTGTTCAGGATTGACACAGAGAGTTTGGTGACAAATATGGCTTCATTCTACTTTATTGTTGTTCTCATCTATTTGTGGCATATCATATCTTGTCAATCTATGCTTAATCATGTATGCCAGTCTATGTGCAGCCTCCCTTTTTTCCTCTCCCCCTGGCCATTTCACAACCTGTATGCCATAACAAGATTTTCCCTTTTTTGCTCCGACCCATTCAACACATTCCTTCCCATTCCCCATAACTTCAGTTTTCTTAAAAAATTTGAGTCCAATATTGTCCCAAAAGGCATCCATTGTGACAGAGTATTGATCCAAATCACTCGTGTGTTTTAAAAAGTTCCAAAAATACTTAGTTTTTGAAAGTGAAAGTAAAAGTCCATTTTCAGTATAGGTTACAAGAGCGCAATTATTTGTAATGCATTTTCCATAGGACCCCAGTGGTATTCAAAAATTTATTTCTTGAAGAATAAACAAACTAGATAAAAATGGGTAGCAGTTCCTGTGACTATAGATGTCAGCCTTTTAATACAGCAAAAAAAAAGTACATGGTCATGCGGCAAAAAGTGCCCTAAAATGCAGTTGTTATGGAAGCTTCCAAATTCCGCACTAAATTGGAAAGGTTAATTTTGAATGGCTCCTCAGTTAATAAAAAAATTATATCTTCTACACATTGTGAATTATGAATTTAATTTTCACCTATTTTCAAACCTAAATGGATAAGCTTTCAAATAAAAAATAATTCCAACCTGCATCATCCAATCAGGAGCCTCAAAGTTTTTTATTCTGAGTACCATCTTGGGTAAAAATTTTGCCGGTTGAATGTAAACAAATAATTGCGCTCTTGTAACCTATAGAAAGAATAAAATTGACTCGAATCAGGACAAAAATGTATCTGTTAAACACAGAACTTATATTAGGAAGAAATACCAAGTTTGGAAGAAATTGGTTGAGTTACTTAAGAAAAACTACCATATGAAGGAACAACCCGTGCCTTGCGGCCAAAGAGGAATTTCATCTACAGATTTCAAGAATGCTGTCATGAAAATAAAAAAATTACCATTAAATAACATTAAAAGTTCATTTGTTAAGTGTTTTTATTTATAAAATTAACATTTCTCTTTATGCATGTACAAGTTGATTCAAATGTTCATTCAGGGTGGATTCTACCCTTACTTTTCTTAAAGTTGTCAAAATTAGCCAAATTTTGGACTTTTTGTCATATATTTTTGAAAATAAAGTGTACTGAAGATGCACTCTGGATCGTTATCATTTATATTTTTATTACTGAAGATAAGAGATACAGGAATGATAGCAATTAAAAGTGGTTGTCTTCATAGTGGCTATAAAAAAATCCAAAGTTTATCATATGGCCTGTTTAGAGAATTTGTCAAATTCTGAGGGAGGCATGTGCTCAATCTCAAATATTTTTAATTACTGAATGAACTTTCCATTCAACTTGTATTGCAAAAAGATAAAATAGTGTCCTACTTTACAAGGGTATATAAAAACTTTACAAACACTAAAAAATTAAAGTGAAAACTGTACAATTCCAATATGTCTGGGTTCAAAAAAGGAAATATCTTTAAATTTAAGGCTGGAAGTATACCTCATAACAAAAAAAGGACTAAACTACTGCCAGTGAAAAGTGACTATGACACACCTAAATATACAAGACTTACCATGAAAAAGTACAATTTAGTAGTTAATGATCCATACACTGATCCAGAGGAAAAAGCCAGGCGGTCTGCTCGTGCGGCCAAACTACTGCGACCAAAGTCTGATGAGGTCTCTGTTCCCAAAAAAAACAGGAATCCTGCTGTAAATGACAAAAGGTAAGGCAAAGATATATAATCTAACTTTTAAATAGAGAAAACAGTTACAGATGAACAATTAAGAAATATCACAGTACAAAATAGGTCTAAAACTGCTAAAATATACTGAAAATTCACAAAATTTCACATTTCTTACACTAAAAATATATTAACCTGGAATTTACTCTGTCTTTTCCTTCTTTAATTAAGTAATTTTATGTTTTGTTTAAATGAAAAAGAGATAATTAGCCCTATAAAACTATGTCAAAATGTCCAACAGTCAGTTTAAAAAATTTCATACCCAAGCAAGGGGCAGGTAACTCTAATTCAGAAAAATTATTTGTTGAAAATATTCTTGATACAGGTGTAAATGTGCAATTTTTTGTGTTTTTCCAGGCCTGACTTCAATTCTTATCGTACGGTGTGCATTTACAAGATGGCAGAAATGTGGAACAAGGCCTTTAGGGAGCACCAGCAAAAAAGTCCTGCCTGTGAGGGTAAACTATCATGCGATTTAGAGAAAGAGGAGAAAAGAGGATTCTCTTCTCGCCAGACTTTGATTTGTACAAGTTGCAGTTATATATCGGATAAGTTTAGCTTATACGAAGAATTAGAAACAGGAAAGCCAGGAAGAAAACCATCAAAACTAGATACAGCTGTACATGTTGGCCTGAGTCAGACCCCAATAGCTTCCTCCAGTATGCGCAAAATCATTCTAAGTGGTAAAATGCAGGCACCAGCAGCATCCAGTCTACAAAGAAGAGCAAATAAAGTACTTAAAAACATTGTAGATGTGAATAAAATGGACCTGAGAAAAAGAAAAAATGAAATTATTGAAATCAATCGCCTCAGAGGGAAGGAAGATCCAAACACAATCAGTGTGCAGATGGACGGAATGTATAACAATCCGCTGTATTCCGGTGTTGGACGCACTCCATTTCAGCCTGCAACACAAACTGTCTATACCACAGCTGAAAATATAACAACAGACCATAATATACTAAGCATAAATATAAAAAATAAGCTTTGTTCAATACATTCAAGCCTTGAGGTGGATCCTGACTCAGGCCGTTTACATGCACAGTGTACAGATGAATGTAGTGCCAACATTCCAATGGTCAAAAGTATTGGGGATGAATATACATGGGCCAAAGAGTGTATCCTTGATCTTAAGGCAGACAACATTGAGGTTGAGCACCTGGTTACTGATCCTGACAGCTCTGCATACAGGGCTGCACAAGACTTGTATGAAGAAGGCACCACAAGTACTCAGCCTGAACATTTCCTTGATACACGGCATGTGTCTGAGAATATCCGTAAGCGTACGAAGAATGATAAGAACCTGTTACAGATCATGCCAGCAAGAACACAAGTGAAGAGACAAAAACTACTGAATTGTTTTTCAGTGGATTTGACAGAAAGGTGTAATGCCGAGCTGGCTCAGGCAAGGAAAATTTACAGTGGAAACTTTCAAAAAATCAAATATAAAATATCGCATGTCGTTGACGCAATCGTCAACTGTTACACTGGAAATCATTCCTCGTGTAAAAAACATTCATTTTTATGTAATGGATTACAGAAAGTATGGCTTATAGGAAGGTCACTACTACCAAAAACATTCAAAATTGCACACTCACAACAAAATATAGACTTTATAAGAAAGACAGTCAACCTGCGTCTTGGCCCAAATATACTTGAGAAGACCAGACTTAATATGAACACTAATTTTGTTGAGGGATTTAACCGTAGCCTGAGGCGTTCTTTACCGTCAAATGTTACTTTTAAAAGAAATGTTACCGGTCGTGCTCATTCAGCTGCTCACAGTGTTAATTTTGGTCCAGGAGAATCAGTTCTAGAACTTTGTACTGCTCTTCATTGTGAAGTCCCAGTGGGAGGCTCTGCATACAAGGCTCTAAAAGAAATACAAAAAGTTGACATTTTACAAAAACAGCACAAAAAGACTATGCAATACAAGCAATTTAGAAGTGATAAAAGGGCTAAACTGTACAAACTGTATGAAAAACTAAGTGAAATAATAGAATATGAAAAAAATATGTTGCTAAAATGTGATCAAGGACTGAAATCTACTCCGCAGAAACATAGTGACCATTCATACAGCAGAAATGACCGAAAGAGAATAAGATCTGTTAGAAAATAAATATTTATTTATTAAATTACATATTAAACAATATGGCTTGTGACTTTTAGAGCAATGGCCCTGATTTTTACAATGTAGGCGGTCTTGATTTATAGCATGAGGTTCAATAGTTATGTGTTCAGGATTGACACAGAGAGTTTGGTGACAAATATGGCTACATTCTACTTTATTGTTGTTCTCATCTATTTGTGGCATATCATATCTTGTCAATCTATGCTTAATCATGTATGCCAGTCTATGTGCAGCCTCCCTTTTTTCCTCTCCCCCTGGCCATTTCACAACTTGTATGCCATAACAAGATTTTCCCTTTTTTGCTCCGACCCATTCAACACATTCCTTCCCATTCCCCATAACTTCAGTTTTCTTAAAAAATTTGAGTCCAATATTGTCCCAAAAGGCATCCATTGTGACAGAGTATTGATCCAAATCACTCGTGTGTTTTAAAAAGTTCCAAAAATACTTAGTTTTTGAAAGTGAAAGTAAAAGTCCATTTTCAGTATAGGTTACAAGAGCGCAATTATTTGTAATGCATTTTCCATAGGACCCCAGTGGTATTCAAAAATTTATTTCTTGAAGAATAAACAAACTAGATAAAAATGGGTAGCAGTTCCTGTGACTATAGATGTCAGCCTTTTATTACAGCAAAAAAAAAGTACATGGTCATGCGGCAAAAAGTGCCCTAAAATGCAGTTGTTATGGAAGCTTCCAAATTCCGCACTAAATTGGAAAGGTTAATTTTGAATGGCTCCTCAGTTAATAAAAAAATTATATCTTCTACACATTGTGAATTATGAATTTAATTTTCACCTATTTTCAAACCTAAATGGATAAGCTTTCAAATAAAAAATAATTCCAACCTGCATCATCCAATCAGGAGCCTCAAAGTTTGTTATTCTGAGTACCATCTTGGGGTAAAAATTTTGCCGGTTGAATGTAAACAAATAATTGCGCTCTTGTAACCTATAATCAATGACTGTGAAACAAGAAATAAAAACATTGTACATTATAAAACGAGAAATAATTAAAATTAAATACAAAACTCTTCTTTAGTGAATTATTCAAAAACGAAAAACGGAAACACTTTTGATTTTCATTTTTGATTTAGAGAAATCAAAAACAAAAAATGAAAACACTTTCCTTTTCCGTCTTCGTTTTAGAGAAATCAAAAACGAAAAACGAAAACACTTTTGTTTTTCATTTAGGTTTTTGAGAAATCAAAAACGAAAAATGAAAACACTGTCGTTTTTTGTTTTTTGTTTTTGATATTTCAAAATGAAAAACGAATGGACACAATTATACACGGACCTTTAACACCCCATTATTCTCTTTCATTTTACCTATTATTTCTCTATTCTTTATTTTCTTTGCCCTTTATTTCTCCACTTTTTGCCCATTATTCTCTATTTTGTAAACCCTAATATAAGAATCCAAATTATGTGATACACCATCGAAAGGTTATAAATGTTTATTTTTGTCATTGAGTTTCAGTTTTGTTTTATGAATATGGATGTTTATGAAAATATTCAGTAATATTTTTTTCATTAATTGCCTAACCAGGTCAAATATTTGGCATGTTTTTTCTAAAAAAATATTATAGGATATTATTTGAGTTATCTCCCTCAACATGAGTCCTGTAAAATTTAACATGGTATGGGAACATTAGAAATGAAGCAAATAGATGTATCACAAAAAATATATCAAACAATTTCATTTTTACGCTTTCCACTCGTGAATAAAATTTTGCATGATTCTTAAGGGGAAAAGAACACCTAAGGGAGTTAACTCTATAAATATCAGCTGAATGTTTTAATAACATACTATCAGTAAAGAGAAATCAAGCTTCTCAATGATCAAAATTAGTGTTTGTCAAACTGCTATATATCCAATGAAATTATTACTGTAAAGTGTGTGGTTCAAATTTTTTTGGAAATTTTTATATTATTGTCAACAACAGTCTAAATTTTATGAAAATTAAACGAGCCATATCTATTTTAGTCAAAGTGTTGGGTACCCCCTTAAATGAACTAGTATTATCTAATATATATATTGAATTAGATAAACAACACTCTACAATAAACTTCCGAGAAAGGAGTAGGGGCATTTAGGCCTGGTTTTGGCCCAAGAAAATAAAATGTTTGATAACTATTTCAAATTGGCACATAATGTTTAGAAATGCATAGGGTCAAGAAATATAAATGAAAAACAAAGATTTCTATCTGATGACGTCACAATTACGTCATAATATGTACTGTTTTCACAAAAACGATGAAAAATACAGAATTTATGCAGTTTTCTATCTTTATTTCCATTGTGGAAACATCGTGCGCAGCCAAGAAACAACAAAATAATTTAACAGAAGCTTTATTATAACTATTGACATAATCCCACCAAATATAAAGTTGTTTCTTGGGTGCGCACATACTTTTTCAATCTAAAATATACTTAAAATTTGATGAAAAACAAGAAAAATCACGAAATTTTACAAAATATGCAAATTAAGTCATGTTATGTTGCCATGGTAACTTGTTCAATGTCAAATTTGTTTTGTTTTTCTGAATACCTTGTACTTTAGTCAGGTTTTCAGTAATATAGAATATGTATGATAACTTTTAAATTTGCAGTAATGTTTGGGCCAAATAAGGGCCTTATTGCCCCTACTACTTTGCAGATTTAGAAAAATCTGCGGTGTACTCCGTTCTTTTAGTAGGTGAAACAGTTCTTGCTCTGATCAATCGCAGTATATGTTATTCAGTACTTCATTAAAAATGTCTATACAATGTGTTAGGGTACTCATTAAAATTTAGGGAGGATACATACAGGGAGGTAGAAAACAGAACTATATTTGTTTTGGCCGTTTCAACTTTTGTACATAGTGGTAGAACTTCTGTTACTGTATTTCAGATGCAGCTCCTCCACCATCTTACGATTCTGTTGTTGAACAGATAAAACAAGCGAAGAAAGACTCAGATGGACATGTCGATTTTGTCAAGACATGCTGTGGAATTCTAATAGGTTCTGGTAAGTACATGTTTTGAATATGTATCAATTAAGATGAAGCATTTTTACTACTCGTGTGTTGAACATTGGTGCTAATCGATAAAATGTTGACTTATTTCGTTCATACAAGTTTAACTATAGAGTTGGTAAAAAAAAACCTGGTTTTTCTTTCTATACAGTTTAATTATAGAGCTGGTATGAAAAGAAATCTGTTTCTCTTATACAGTTTAGCCCCCAAGGGTGATTGGGGAATAGAAATATGGTCACCATTGATCTTCTTCCGACCGGCAGAAAAACCCTTGCTAAAGTGGGGCGTCCGGTCAAAATGGGGACGTTAAATCCGATGCCTCGTGTAAAGAGAGTGCCACGCTCTTTGCACGTTAAGAACCCTTGCAACAACTCTTTGAGGGGTCCGTAGGTGACCTGTTGCAAGGCTAAATTTCTGACCCTATCCAATATACCCTCATTTCCCGTGGCAATCTAAATTTCTCCGACCTTAATCCCAGACGTCTCTATTACAGAACCTACCTATTGTATTTATTGTTAATTTGTTCTCGTCCTGAATATGCATGAAATATTTGCCACTGGACATTAAGCAACCAACAATCAATCAATCTTATACAGTTTAACTGTAGAGCTGGTGAAAAAAAAACACATTTATCAGTTTTTCGCAATACACTTAACTGGAATGCGCCTACCCATATACACAAAAATGGTAAGTGTATTGGAATGGTTATATATAATATCAGATTACATGAACACACATGTGGAATGCTTGATTTATTAAAGAATGGGAATTCTAAAATAGAGTCTGAACTTCAGGTTGGAATAATAGAATAACCATTATTTAATTGCTAATTAAAAACAAACGAAATTAACATTTCTACTCACAATTGTATGTAAAACTATTACCGCGAGAATATGGTTGTCCTTCCTTTTTTCAAATTCATTGTAAATTTTATGAAAATATCAACAGAAAAACAGGAATTACTTTAAAAAAACAAGTGCCTATATTTGTTTCTTCCCCCATTAATGCTACCGTCTGTCACCAAGGCATATGTTAGTGTTGACGAATTATGTTTTTTTTTTTTTCAGTTGCAGTTACTGTTTGTTTAGGGCTATTCTTGTCAATTCCAATAACTATGATTGCTTTAGGTAAGTAGCTGCTACTCTTTCTGCTTTTAAACTTTTCAAGGTCAAATTATTCGCGAATGCTTTACAAAAATAACCCACTAAATTCACTGTGGTCTGTTGTCGTGGTTTCCAAGTGGCTCATCTGGGAGAATGGTCTGTTGATTGTGAGTTAAATTATTTTCGCAGATGATTTTGAATAAAATAAATGGATAATGTGTTCATGGGACACAGATGATGCCCCCGCTTGCAAATAACATTATAAAGGGGTATAACTCAAGAATGGTAAATTTTCGCCTCCCAAATTCGAACTTGATCTGTGTTTTGTGGTTATAAGCATTGTGCATAAGTTTCATAACATTTGGTTGAGGCAAACTAAAGTTAGAGAACGGAAACCAATTTCGGGACGTATGTACGGACGGACGTACGGACGGACGTACGGACGGATAAGGGTAACACTTAATGCCCCCTCCGGTGATGTCGATGGCATACAAATCATTTATTTAACTGTATGCCAACATAAATCATTAAAGTAACAATTATACTGTATCAAAACTTTGTATTTTGGTCACCGTAAGTCCTTAAACAATGAGCTAAACCCATTCCACATAGGAAAATGCCCTGAAATGACATTTGTAGAATAATCCAAACGAGAAAACTGAAGACCTGATTTATGACAAAACAATAAATGATAAACAAATATGATATACAGCAGCAAACGATAATCACTGAATTACAGGCTCCTGACTATATATTAATGGTTAGCGCTGTTGGATGAACATATACCTTTGAAAGAGGAAAGATTAAATACTTTTTATTGAATGAATTTAAATTCCACATGGTCAAAAACTACTGTGCGTACATGTAGTCTCATCATCCTTATATATGGCGCATGGTCTAACATTAATGAGGGTTTGGATGGGATTTACAGAATCATGAGCTAAAAATATAAATATAATAAAATTGAGAACGGAAATGGGGAATGTGTCAAAGAGACAACAACCCGACCATAGAACAGACAACAGCAGAAGGTCACCAACAGGTCTTCAATGCAGCGAGAAATTCCCGCACCCGGAGGCGTCCTTCAGCTGGCCCCTAAACAAATATATATACTAGTTCAGTGATAATGAACGCCAAACTAAACTCCAAATTGTACACAAGAAACTAAAATTAAAAATAATACAAGACTAACAAAGGCTAGAGGCTCCTGACTTGGGACAGGCGCAAAAATGCGGCGGGGTTAAACATGTTTATGAGATCTCAACCCTCCCCCTATACCTCTAGCCAATGTAGAAAAGTAAACGCATAACAATACGCACATTAAAATTCAGTTCAAGAGAAGTCCGAGTCTGATGTCAGAAGATGTAACCAAAGAAAATAAACAAAATGACAATAATACATAAATAACAACAGACTACTAGCAGTTAACTGACATGCCAGCTCCAGACTTCAATTAAACTGATTGAAAGATTATGTCTTCATCATATGAATATCAGGCACAATCCTTCCCGTTAGGGGTTTAGTATCATACCATCATAACATATATGAGAAGAACATAACCCGTGTCATGCCAACAACTGGTTTTTGAATAAATGTGTTTAGTGCCGATGCAAAGACCCTATAAGTGAATCAATATTAACGCCAAAATATGTATCGTAACTATATCCCTTCTTAATAAGTCTATTTAAAGGTTTTGTTAGCTTCAGAGGTGAATACTGACATTTTTGTGCTTTATAAAGAATATTTCCATAAAAAATTGGATGTGAAATACCTGAACGTATAGGAAGTCTGCATGTTGAACTATATTTACGAATGATGTCCTTATACCGATGATAAAATTTAGTAAATGTTTTGACTAGTTTGTGATATCGAAAACCCTGGTGTAATAATTTTTCAGTAATACATAAATTTCTCTCGTTAAAATCTAAAACATTGTTACATACACGAGCGAATCGTACAAGTTGAGATATATAAACACCGTAAAGGAACGTCACCATCTAAAAATGGACAATTAACGATAGGAAATGAAAAATCATCTCTTTTATCATATATTTTAGTATTAAGCTTTCCATTAATGATATAGATATCAAGATCGAGGAAAGGGCAGTGGTCATTGTTAGTATAAGCTTTATTTAAAGTAAGTTCAACAGGATAAATTTCTTTAGTATACATACTGAAGTCGTCATTATTGAGAGCCAAAATATCATCCAAATATCTAAAAGTATTATTAAATTTGTGTATCAGATGTTGTTTCGATGGGTCTTTGCTGATTTTTGTCATAAATTGTAACTCATAGCAATACAAAAAAAGGTCCGCAATAAGTGGTGCACAGTTAGTCCCCATTGGAATTCTGATAACCTGACGATATACGGAATCTCCAAAGCGAACAAAAATGTTATCTAGTAAAAATTCAAGGGCATATATAGTATCAAAGCATGTCCAATTGGCATAGTTTTTTTGTTTATTGCTACTAAAAAATGACCTAAAAGAGTTTGAACATATATATTTACATTCTGACTTTTTAAATGCCCATTTAATTAGGTGTGTGAATTTTTTCTTAATGAGAATGTGAGGCAATGTGGTATATAGGGTAGAAAAATCTAAACTTTGAACAGATTCAAAATCACCAATATATGCATGTAATTTATCAAGTACTTCCAACGAGTTCTTGACACTCCAAAAGTAATTAATTCCACTATTTTCGAAGGCCTTATTTGAATAATTTATTATCAGGTTTTTGATTGTACCAAGTGTACTGGTAAGAAGAATAGACAATTTAGTAGTGGAACAATGGCTTGAAGACGAAATAAATCTATATTTGTAAGGTGTTTTGTGTAGCTTCGGAAGCCAATACATAGTTGGGACTTTCATTGTACTTGGTTCTGCTTGTAAAGCGGTAGCTAAAAGTTTATGTTTGTTACAGATGTCGTTTTCTGAAAATGGAGTCAGTTGGAATGTTGGTGAATTGGTGATTTCTTTTTTAAGAACCTCAATGTAAAATTTACGTCAAACAATAATAATATTATTAGCAGCTTTATCGGCCGGGACAAAAACAAATTCCTTGGCTAGTTCTTTTAGTTTATGTTTGATACGAGAAATAGGTTTATTGTGGTTATTGTTAAGAGTAAAATGTTCTTTAAAATGTTGAATACGTATATCAACTATGTTCATTACTGAATTAAAAAAAGAGTCCAAAGATTTTTTGTCAGCTTTTTCCCGTTTTATCCATTTCAAACAGTAAGTATGGAGTGAGTCGTGGATGATATTACGACACTCATTCCAATTAATAATTGACGGGGGACGATATTTAGGTCCTTTACTGAGGAATGATTTTAACTCTCGGTCTTGAACAATGTTAAGATCTCCTGTTATAACATGGGAAATGGGTCCATAAATGTATTCGGAATTACTGCAATTACATGAAGTAGGTGTATTTTCACTGATATTAACATCTTTACACAATTGGCTATAATTAAACACAAATTTCTGGGTAGATTTCTTGTAAATATAACAAATAAGAGGGAGCTCAGTATTATCAAAATATCCCGGAATTTGTTCTTTAACAGAATGGTCGTTAAAAATACCGGCAATATTTACAAAATCAAAACCTTTATTAACATACTTTATTTTAATAAACTGTTTTTTATGATCTTCAGGGCGATCAATTTTGGGAAACAGTTTAGAATAACAATATGCCATTATAATTTGAACGATTTCATACTTAGGACTGCTATATGAAATTGTGTTGCAATCCTCTAAAATTTTATTTAACTTATTAACCGGTAATGAACAGAGCTTTGTTAACAGATAATGTCTGCCGTTGTTTTTTGAAATAGAAATTAGGTCCGAAATATTGGTATGATTGGTCCGAAATTTTCTTTGATTGCGAT